CAGGCGTACATCTCCTCTCCACTTACTTTGCACATACGGCTGGATGCTGCTCGCTGATATTTTGTTTCAGAGTTTTCCGTCTTTGTGCCGAGCGAGACAAGCTGTCACTCGCCCTCCTCGTGCAGCTGTGCCCGGCCGGGCACCCGTGTTAGGCTCGCCTCACAGATGGGACCATTTGGCCGAGATGGAAGTGATCTGTTTCTTAGAGTTTAGTACAATAGGCTGGGAGTGTTTTTGTTTTTTTTTCTTACAGATTTATTTATTGATGCACAAGAGCTGGGCGCAGGCCAGAGGCGCAGGGGCGGTGAGAGGACCCCAGAGGCAGAGTGGGGAGCGGGACAGGCAGGTGGACGGAGCGCACTGCTGGGGGGCAGCGGGAGCCAGGAGGGGCTGCCGCGCCCTGGGGTCCCTCCCTGGCCGGGGTCGGGCTCCCACGGAAGCGGGGTCGGCCAGCCGGGTCGGCCAGCCGCGCAGTGCCGGTCCTGACCCGTGTGCCAGCAGCAGGGCCCGAGTCTCCTTTCTTCCCAGCCTCTTTCCTGTGGTAAAAAGGTCAGGGAGTAACTGAAGATGGCAAGAAGCCACAGGACTGTGTCAAACCACGTAACAAATGTGTTCACTCTAACCGGTGCCTTCCCAGGTCCACACCACATGGTGCCGCCCGTGACTCAGTTTCCCCAACTACAGTTCCGTGGGAGCCGGCGCAGGGCAAACAGAGACCGAAGCAGGAGCTCCCCAGGCTCGCTGCACGGTGCAGCGGACGAGCTAAAACAAGTTTTGGCGAGCTGAGGGGTTAGTGTCCGGCTTAGGGGTTAGTGTCCGGCTTAGGGGTTAGTGTCCGGCTTAGGGGTTAGTGTCCGGCTTAGGACTTAGGGAGGATAAAATATGGACGGGGGGAGGCGAGATGCTTATCAGAATCATTTGCAGTAGCAATAATATGGAAACAATTGAGTATAATAAATGAGTCGTTAATATTCACGTGCAAGAAGAGTTTATGGTGTTTTGATGAAAAGATTCGGGTGATTAAAGAAAAAGTATAGGAAATGCTTCTGCTTCCATTTTAAGTGAAAAAAGCGAAGGTCAAGTTTCTTCGTACCATGTGATGCCCGTGCGGGGGAAGAATTAAGAACATGCAGAAGAACAGGCCAGAATGTTCCGGGACGTCCCGCGTGGCGGTGGCTGCTGCGAGGCGTTTCCCGGTCAGGTACCCAGCGCCGACTCCGGGGGCGGGGGTGGGCGCCGGGCCTGGCGCCGCAGCAGGGCTGGGGCTGGTTTCCAGCCTGGCGCACTCACAGGGTCCCGTGGAGGCCC